TCTACTCATTCAGAAAATTGGAAGTGAAATCATAGATAGATTGTCATCAAAAGAAGGAAGGTTGCTAATTATTTATTCAGGATAAGGGAAACCTATTCATATTTCAAAGTCAACGGGAAAGGAGATAGCGAGAGAGATTTAAAATAGAAGAGAAAGAGTAGACTTTACTAAAACTATCGATAGTCTTCGGGCCATACACTGAAATTTAATGTTTGTTTTAAAAAAAATCAATCTATTTTCATTTTTATTTAAAAATCATCCTGATAAAATTCCCATTGTAATTGAATAATCTAATATAATAGGGAGCTGGTCTCTGTGGCATCAATGACCTTACTCTAATGCTAATGACCAATTGCTATAGTACTCGATACTAATGACTGGACTGCCACAAATAAGTGACTTCTCCAGTCCTCAGTCTTCTCACCTGTAAAATGAGGGGATTAGACTTGACCTCTGTAGATGCCTTCTAGCTCAAAGTCCGTGATCCTCCAATCCAATGGGGGCTGGCCCACAAGAGGTTACGTTCGTCAGGACTAGGGAGAGAACAGCTCCAGTGCTGGTCCTTGGCAAAACTGTGAGGTTGCAAAGATTCTGACAAATCAATGTCTTCTCACTTCCCCTTTGGCACCCTTCCTTTCTTTCTTTGTGGTGTCCCTGGCAACTTTCTTGCAGCTAATGCCTCCTCCTACCCTCTCTCTCTCTCTCTCTCTCTCTCACACACACACACACACACACACACAATTACCCAGTATTTAGAGGCAACATAATCCCAGGGAAAAGAGCATCGATTGACATCAGAAGACCTGGGTTCAAACTCCACCTTATTCCTTATTACCTATGAGATCTTAAGAAAATCTCTTACCCTCCCTGGCCTCAGTTTTCTTGTCTGTAAAATGAGGGGATTGGGCTAGAAGGTCTCTGAGTTCCCTCCTAGCTCCACCTCTATGAGCCCATGAGCATGCTTTGTATGTATTATGTGGAGCATGCTGTTTCCCCAGGTAGAATGTGGTATCTGTGAAGGCAGGGGTGGTCTCATTTCATCTCTGACCTACCACTATGGAGAACCATCCATCTTACTCCCTGATTGTGGTCTTTCCCTATCAGGACAGTTCTCCCAACTGAGTGCACCATCACCTAGCACTTGGCTTGGTCTCAGTAGCGACCCCAGTGACTGTTCAAATGAGGCAGCAGTGGGCTTATTTATACAAATCTGATGCTGCTGCCTTCAGGGCAGCCAGCTGCTTTCCTGTAGCAGCTGGTGTGGACCAACAGCTGGTGAACTTGGAGGCCGTGCGAGACAATCAGAGGAAGTTACCACATAAGTTTCTCACTGAAGGGAAAAGGGACTTTTCCACTGGTCTCTTTCTTTCTGAGCAATTCCATATCCTAATTACATGACACAAATTGTTTCAGAAACTTGTTCACCATCTGCTACTTCAATAAAGAGAGGTCAACAATGTAAAGATGAGGAAGTCTAATGAGCAATTTCCCCCTGAAAAATTTTCTTCCCACTCAGTCTAGCTTGCTGTATTTGGACATGAATGAACTGGCTAGAGTAGAGAAAACCATCATGGCAGCAAAGGGCTTAAATTCAGGAATGCCATTCAGGCATTCTAAACCAGGGTGGAGATCCTGCCACCCTTCCGACTTCTCTTAAGTATCAATTTCCAGGTGTAAGTACAATACAATTTATGGATTCCAAGGTGGGAGATGTGGCAGGTGTTGACTGGCCTCATTACACCTTTTGTAAAGTGACTAAACTGTTCTTTCTAGCCAGTAAACCCTCCAAGTTAACTACCTGGTGTAGGCAGGGCATAATTTTACTGGATTACTATTGACCTAGGATTTGTGAGGGTGAATGAATAAATGAATGAATGTGAGGGGTGTGTGTGTGTGTGTGTGTGTGTGTGTGTGTGTGTGTGTATGTGTACTGGGTAAGGTTTCACATTTTTTACTTTGTGAGATTTGAATAACAGCCAATAAGGATAAAGAAATAATGACTGTACTATTATTGTCTTATGAAAGAGATTTCTTTTTTTCTGTAATAAAAGTGAACTTATCACCCGGTTTTCGTTTGACATACAATCCTAGAAGAACTGAATAATGTCTCCAATGGTAAAAATCACTTTCTGGGTTTGTCAGTATAGAATCATTAAAGAAAACTCTCTGTCACCATTTTTTATTTTGGAAGCAAAACCACAGAAGCAAAATATCCTTTTGATTGACCCACAGAGGTTACCTAGCCCATCACAGAGATAATCAACCTTAATAAGCTTCCTGTCTGCAATATACCCAACAGGCACCCAGGCTGCCTGAGAAGCTCTAGGGAGGGGATCCCGCTGCCCCCCTCCCCCAGACCCCTGGCAGCCTCTTCTGTGTTTGGACAACTGTAATCACTATGGAAATTTTTCCCTTCATCAAGGATATATGCGCCCCTCTGATACTTCTCATTGCTCCCGACTCTGGCCCAGGGAACCAAGTAAATCAAATCTAATCCTTCCACTTGACTGCCCTCCAAAGGTAGCTATCGTGTTCCCCTACTAAGTCTTCCTTTCATGATAAAGAGGCTCGATTCCTTTAACCATCCTCCCATGTCATGAACTCGGGGCCCTTCACCCCCCTCATTGTCCTCTGCTGGACACTTTCCAGCTTACTGATGGCCTTCCTGAGATGCAGTGTCCAGAACTGAACACAGCATATGGCCTGATGAGGTAAGAGGACAGCAAGTCCCTCACCTCACTACTCCTAGACACCGCATCTCTCAATGAAAGCCGTTTGCTTGGGGTGGAATGCCTTGTTGCAGAAAGTCAGTGTCTGAGGAGAGCTGAACATGGAGTAGGGAAGATGCAGGTTCAGATTCAAAGTCTGAGACTTGTCAGCTTTGTGGGGATGAGGATTGGTTTGGGGGTGGGGGAGGGAATAGAGGGATGGAGATAGGGATGGAAATGGGGATAGGGATAGGGATGGGGATGGGCATGGGGATGGGCATGGGGATGGTGATGGAGATGGGGATGGGCATGGGGATGATGACTGGATGTGTCACTGAACTTCCCCTACTAAAGCAGGTCAGCACCTCCTCAGCAAGGTAGAGTCTTCAAGGGTTGCGAGAGTTCTGAGTGTTTGAGAGCTAATTTGGTGCCTGGGAGAAATTCACTTCTCTCTAAGATCTGGTTTCCTTTTCTTTAAATAGGGCCAGGGAGTGCACCTGGGATTTTAGTAGTGCGGGATTGCCTGGGTGAGAAAACTTCACCCCCAATGAAGATTAGCACCTGCTCTGCAATTTATAGAGTGTTGCTTAAAGACCTCCCAGGTGATGGGTTTTGTCCCACAACTAGTAGGTGTCAGAAGCAGAAATTAAACCCAGGTCTTCCTGACTTCCAGCCTAGTTCTATATCCCTGTACCATGCCCTTTTCTGTAAAATGGGGATAATAATACTCTCACTGCCTCCTTCACCAGGCTGTTGTGAGTAAAACCTTCTCTAAAGTCTTAAAAACTATACACAGCAACATGAGTTGTTAATAAAACACAAATAGAATTGTCAATCTAGCATTTTCCTATTAAGTGGATGGACATTTTATTTGACTTCTATATATCTCACAGACATTTGAGTTAGTATTCTTTCTGACTAGAGAGAAAAGTAGAAAAAGAATGTGAATTTCCATATATTGTTTTTGAAACTTTAAATGGTTATTCCTCTGGAATAGCCAATCTTACCGCATTGGTCCCTTATTTTGATGCTCTTATGAATAACTACCTGGAAGGTGAAGCCACCTTACATTGGAGTCTTTAGGGGCACTTCCATTGTGTTAGGTGAGGTCCCAAAGAGCCTCAAAGTTCCTTTCTCTAACACGTATATTCCAGCGACTTTTTACTTAGCTGTGGTAGGTTGGCCTGAGATCTCTGTTCACTCATCAGTCTACAAGGTGCAATCTGAAACTCTGATGGAAGGCTTCATTTCCCCTGCCCCGTATGATTCAGCTAAGCATAGCTTGGCCAGGAACAATGTCCTCGTATTATCTGACCTACAAGTTTCTTTTAAGCTAAAGGATTTTTCACAGAAACTGGGAGGTGAGGAAAGGAAAAGAGTCACTGAAACTAAATGTAAAGTTGTTTTTGCCTCCCATATGTTATTACCATACTGGTATTTGATGTGTCAGAATAACATTATAAATAATCAGTAATAGATTTTATTCTTTTATCAACAATGTATGTGGGATAAAACATATTAATTCATCAGCCTTATCTGCCCCACCTCTCACCCCACCCCTAACCTACCTATCCTCCTACAAACTAACTTTTTTCTGTTGAGGGCACTGCCATCTATAGACCAAATGGCATCATATTTTCAAAAAGATTGTATTAGCCTCAACACCAAAGGCAACTCTGAAGATGGATGGATGGCTTGGTTTTATAAGGGACTGTTAGCTTTGCTTTCTTAAAAGGACAAATATAGGTAGGAAAGACTGCAAACTTTTCTACAAAAGACTATTTTCCTCTTGGGGGAAACAAACAAACATATAAAAAGCAGTTTCAGAAATTCTCGGGTGAACTAGACTGTTTTTGAATCATTTGTTACACTTTGTGTAAGGATGAAACAATTTCAATGTCTTTCTACTGATTCTCCTAGAATTGGTCCATTTATATTTAGAAGAGAGGGGAAAAAAGGAGAAATTATTTATTTCTGTAGTAATAATTTTTATCATCCAAGAATAACTATATGATTTGGATGGCTATGTTCTATGTCATATAAAAATATTCTAAATCCTTCTGTTCAGATAAAAAAAGAAAATGAGATGTGTTCTAACCATGAAACTTGTACCCTTATTTATATTTCTCTCATATGTTAGGAAATATTGCAAGTTACAAAAGAAATAGTATGATAAGGCACAATTAGGATCAAGACTGAAAGCATTATCAAGATAAAGTAACCTATTTTGATGGGTAGAATTAGCGGTTCTGAATCTCTTTGTGTTTGTTTTTCTTCTACTTTTTCTTACAGTGAAGAAAGTTATACAGTCAATGACTATTCTTTGAGGGATCAGCTGTTGGTGGAGCCTTGGGACCATGAAGAAATGAATTCTTCTCCCCTGAAGAACAGCTCCACCATGCTCTATTCCAGACAGAGCTCTGCCAGTCACCTGTTTACTCTGACAGTTCTCAGTAACCATGCAAATGAGAAAGTGGAAATGCTTCTGGGAGCTGAGACTCAGTAAGTCCTTGAGGCCCAGAAGCATGAGGGAATGGGGTGGTTATGGGAAGCCTCTCTCCTCTGTCTCTCTGTCTCTGTCTCTTTCTCTTTCTGTCTCTCTGTCTCTTTCTCTTTCTGTCTCTCTGTCTGTCTCTGTCTCTCCCTCTCTGTCTCTCTGTCTCTTTCTCTCTTGTGATTCAGTAATTCACATGAAGTAAGAAGTGAAATTTTTGAGTTAGGTTTAGGGTTGTTGGATGTGGTTATCGAAATCCTTTATCATTTCCTGAGGGGTGCTTTTTTGGGTGGTAGTTCTTGTTTTGGGGATCTTTGAGCTCAGCATAGGAGGAAAAGATGCAAAATCTGGAGCCAGGAAGACCCTGGTTCACAGTCTTCTCTGGTATGTGATTGCTACAGCTACTCTAACTCATTCCCTGGACTTCTAATTGGTGGCACCTCACCTTATCTAGCCTGACCCAGACCCCTTACCTGACTGCCTGGCCATCTTCATGGCATGCTGCCATTTAGAACTCCCTCCTTTACACCCCCCACAGACATTTGCATATATCTTTTCCATCTCTGGCTCTAGGAAGAGTAATCAAGTCAACAGGACTATTCCTGGGGGGGGGAGGACGACAAAGCTGTGCATCAGTTTCTCTACTCATTCCCTGACCAAACCCTTTTCTCTGGCAACCACTCCCCTATAAATGATGTATTTCCCTATCAGAATGTAAGCTTCTTGAGGGCAAGGGCTGCCTTCCTTTTTACATATCTGTATCTAGAGTACTTAATGTAGGAGATAGAAAGATGGCCTCAAGAGCTACTGGAAAAACTACAGCTTTGACTATACGGACCTTTGCTGGCAAGGTGATGTCTCTGCTTTTTAGGTTGCTGTCCAGATTTGCTATAGCTTTCCTCCCAAGGAACAAGTGTCTTAATTTCATGGCTGCAGTGGTAATCTGTGGTGATCTTTGAGTCCAAGAGTATAAAATCTGACACTGCTTCCATTTTTTCTCCCTCTGGTCTGATGAGACCAGTTGCCAAGATCTTAGGGGTTTTTTTGGGTTTGTTTTGTTTTTTATGTTAAGCTTCAAACCAGCTTATATACTCCCCTTTTTCACCCTTATCAAGAGGCTCCTTAAATCTTCTTCACTTTCTGCCGTTTGAGTGGTATCATCTGTATATCTGAGATGGTTGATTGGTGGATGGATGGATGGAAGTGAAATTGGTTAACTACCCAGTCCCACAGCTGGTTTGTGGCAGAGCTGGGAATAGAATCAATGCTTATGCTGCACCATCTCATGTCCTCTTCCATGATTCTTCTGCTCCAGTTTCTCATGAATTTCAGTCCTGCCTCTGCCACCATATTGTGAGCTCTGAAGGCAGGAACCCTGACTGCTCTTACCTTTGTAACCCTCATGGTGCTGAACAAACAAATCCCAGAATTTGAGATTTATCGAGGCACTGAGAAGTCACCAAGGCCAACCCACACCTGACAAAGAATTTCCACTGCAGGAGACTGGACAGGTGGTTAGCCAGCTGCTGCTTGTAGCCCTCCAACGAAAGGCCACCCACCAGTTCCCAAGGCAGCCTGTTTGACTTTGGGCCAGTTCTCATTGGTAGGCAGGTTTTCCTGAAATCCAACCTCAATTTGTCTCCTTTCACCTTCCATCCACTGCTCCTGCTTCAGCATCTTGAGGTCAAACAGTACAAGGTTTCCCCTTCTTCTCTATGACAACCTTTCACTTGCTTGACGGCTGGCACATTCCTTCTTTTATCCCTACCCCCAACCTGGTTTTCTCATGTTCAGGCTAAACATCCTCATTTCCTTCAAATGAACCTTATAGCTTCACCTAATGGAAGAGCTGACCAATCCACCAGTAGTTGACTCCAAAGGCTCACTGTTACCTCCAGTATCAAACAAAGTCCTTTGTTTGTCATTTAAAGCTCATCATCGCCTGGCTCCTTCCTACCTTCCCTCCCCTACACACATACTACAGTTCAACCATACTGTCTTTGCTGTGCCTTGGAACAGGACACCCTATTTCCCATCTCCATACCTTTCCACTATTTGTCCTTGTGTACTGACTCCTCTTCCCTCTCTCTCGGAATCTCTGGCTTCCTTCAAGACTGGGCTTAAAGGCAAACATCAGCAGGACCCCTGGCCTTCTCCTCTAAGGTTACCTTCTATTTACCTTGTATTCCTCTTTTTTGTACCTGGTTTGGGGATATTGCTTTCTTTGCTTTTCAAGATATGTTCTTATACCCATTAGAAGATAAGGTTTTTGAGGGCAGGAACTTTTTTTTTTGCCTCTCTTTGTATCCTCAGTACTTAGCACAGTGCCTGGCATGTAGGGAGTGCCTAATAAATGCTTGTTTATAGATTATATCTTTGAATGATCTTCACAACATAATACTTCAGATCTCCGAAGTGAGGATGTCACCTTCTCATTTCTGAAAGCTCTAATTATCATAATGAATTCTCAAATCGCATTCCTGTTTTCGGCCTCATGAACTGATTAATATCTTATGACATTTGCTATTGACTTGAAAATGTTAGCCTAAAGACTTTGTATTTTATTTAGTAGGCAGTAGAGAGCCCCTGAAGATTTTCTAGCAGAGGAGCGACATGTTACACTCTGTAGTGGGAAGATTGATCTGGTAGCTGTGGGAATGATGGAATGGAGAAGGGTTGGTGTGGAGAAAGGTTTTCCCCACTTGAGGTAGAAAAGATATAATGCAAGCTGATAGAGTAAGCTGTGAAAGAACCATAAGTCTTTGCTAGAACCAAGGTATATTAATCATTTATTAATCTGCCTTTGGAAATAACTTCTCAACGGCTTATAGAGACTGGTGTAGATGAAACAGTTCTGCCACTGGTCAGGCCAGGGGAGAAGGGAGGAAGCGGGCAGGAAATAAGTTTTTATATAGTGCCTGCTATGTGCCAGGCACTGTGCTAAGCGCTTTACAAATATCATCTCATTTTTTCCTCATAGCAACACTGTGAGGTACGTGCTGTTGTTATTCCAATTTTATAGTTAAGGAAACTGAGGCAAACAGCAGTTAAGTGACTTGCCAGGATCACACAGCTAGTATTTGAGGTAGATTTTGAACTCAGGTCTTCCTGACTTTGGGCCTAGCAACTCTATCCAGTGCACCACCTAGCTTCATTTTAGGCTAGAGTTTGCTAAGGGAGTGGGTGACTCCTGAACGGCTTTTCTTGTTCTTTAGCCATTTTCAATTGTATCCCACTCACCATGACTGGAGTGGTTTGTCATTTCCTTCTCCAGCTCATTTTGCAGATGGGGAAACTGAGGCAGAGATGGTTAAGTGGCTTGTCCAGGGGCATACAGCTATTAAGTGTCTGAGGCCAGATTTGAACGCAGGGAAATGAGTCTTCCTAACCCCAGGCCCCTTTCTCTGTGCACTATTGCGCCACCTGGTGCCCACAACAATAACAACAACAAATTGCTAAGGAAGTGAGTGACTCCAGGATTTTCCTGCTCTCCAAATTCTCACTTACAAAACAAAGAATTGTTTAAAAAAAAACAAAAACAAAAACAAACAAAAAAAAAACCTAAAATCCACCCCTGGAGGAGCTGATCTCTGAACAACATTCAAGTCTTCCCTTTTTCTTTCCCTTCCCCACTCTGGATAGGGAGTGGGGTGACCTTGTGCTGATTTGATTAAGGGGCCTTGATTGCCAATCATTTAATAAATATTTATTGAGTGCCTTTGTAGTACCAGATGGATGGATGGATGAAAAGAAAGAAAAATTATTAACTGCTTGTTGTGTACAAAGTATTATGCTAAGAGCTGGGCTGCAAAAAGAAAACAGACATCGCTGCTCTCAGGGAATTCACATTCTAATAGAAGCAGACAACACATAGAGGGCGTTTCAGCTGCAAATCAGATAGAAAGGCAGATGTAGTGTAATTACCATTGATAAAACCGTATCTGTTTCCGACAGGGAGCCCTCAATTTGAGGTGTCCCTTCTGGGTCTCAGTAACTGTGGCTGTTGAGCATGCTGAGGCGACAGCCCCTGGAGAGGCACCAGGGAGGGCCTTTTGCATCATTCTCTTCCTAGCCATCTTGGGCTCCCATCAGTCACGTGCTGTATATTCAGGGAAGTCACCCCCCCCCATTCCCCTCAGTTTTTGCTGCCATCCTCTGTACTATAACTACTGAAGTAACCTTCCTGTCTTCTCTGCTTACTTTTAAATTTCTTCTGTTGCTCAAGCAAAAAAAAAAGTTTTAATGTCTTACCCAAATATAGCACGCCATCTCTGTTTATTGGGCAGAGTTTACTCTTTTATTGTGAACAAGACAATAGTATAATCCGGTAGAAAGTGCAGAAGGGAACCATTTTTTCCAAGCGAGGATGTTTTACTGCGGTTACTTCCTTAGCCCTCCTCCCCACCCTCATCATCTTCCAGGGGGGCTGTGACAGCCGGAGGGTCTCCTTTGTCTGGGCTCATTACAGGGAAGCCCAAACAGCTGCAGTTGGCAGAGATGTAGGAGCCGTCGGCGCACGGGATCTGTCCCGGCTTCCTGAGTTTACAGTAGATTTCAGAGCTCTGTGTCTGTCAGATCAAATCTTTAGATTGATGGGAGCTCTCTGGGAATGCACCGTGGGCCTCCTTCGCCTAGTGCTTTTTGCAGATGGGACACAGTCCTAGCCTGATTGAGCGGGTCCCTCTCCCCAAACTGTCTTTCTCAACAAAGTGAACAAGAGGAGGGATGAAAGGGGGCTGTTGTATGCCATCCACAAAACCCAGTCCTGGGCCCTTCAGAGAAAGGGGCTTTGTCTGCCCGGGCCCTTCTGCTTGTTTCCTGCTGCTCTTAATGGATTAATTAACAGGAAACAAATGATGATCTCATAAAACTGTAAATGGTGAGATGAGTTTTAGTGGCCTAAAAAATCAGCCACAAACTGAGGAAGAAAAAGTTTACATAGTTTGAACTCATTCACTTTTCAGATTGCAGGATTATTGATTGATAGAATTAGAGATGGAAGGGACCT